ATTCGTATGTTAAAAATTGTTTCGCGCGTTTCCATACCTTGCATGAATGCAATATGCAAAGCCCTCAGCTATGCATTCCTTGGACACCCTGACAACATGATCCACTCGTCCAAAATCGCTCGCAAATTCACTAGCCAGGCAGCGCCCCAAACCACTTGAGTCGCAAACCCACGCGATTTCTGTCGATGCGCTGTAACACGCTGTAATATGCGCAAATTGCACTGAGCCCTTGGACACCTTCAGCTTCGTATAATCCTTAAAAAGTGTCACCGATGTATACCCAAACGTATCGCTTCCCACCAGTCACGATCCAAGGTTGAGGTAGTTTCAAGATTGGTGTACATTCGCTCATTATATATATGGTACCCATATTAACGTTGTCGTTCATATTATATAGCATGCACCAAATACAGTACAAGCGAGGAGCACACAGTACCGTCCATCCCCTGCGGCTCATCGTACATTGGCTTCCAACGAGTAATAGTGTTCAACCCAGTCAATGTTGCAGATATTATGCACGCAGACAACGCAGATGAGCAAGCAGACGAGTTGGATGCAATAGTAGAACTGTAATGAAGGCGAATAAATCCAATAATCAAGCAGCACAACAACAATACATTTAACGCGCATCGAATTGGATTCAACACATTCAGGCATAAATGGCATTCGCGAAGGACCAACAGGTACCGGTACGGTACCGCTTACTCTGTGCACCTACCTTGCGTCGTGTTTTCGCGTGCATGGTAGGATTGACGTTGCTGGGAATTGAACCCAGACCTCCTGCAAGCAGGCGCGCTTCCATTGCGCCACAACATCGATTTCTTGAGTGTCGTCGCTCTGGCCTTCCAGTCGTGCAGCACAGTCCTGCATAATAGCAGCACAGACCTACATAATCCACCAGATTCGCCAGCTAAAAAGTGGTTATGACACCATACATCACATACATACAGTACCACCACAACACTAGCTCCAATTCTTACCATGGTGATTGATTCGTTTTTCGTGGCGGGTCGGCGGTGGGCTGACTGCACATCTACGACAGAACTGGAGCACACCGTTAGGTTAACATTATGGAAGGATGATCGTGCTCACCAATGTTCCAGCATGTGCTTGGTCCATGCCTGCGCGTTCTGGCGTCGGCTGTGGAATTCTGGAATGGCAATGGAAAAGACGTCATGTTTTTTAACCAAGTATTTTGCTCAAGTACTAGCCAATGAAAACTACTATTTAGCCAATGAAAACTACTTGGACGATTTGGAATAAAAATATTTTCACAAAGTTCAACTTGGACGATCATGAGAATTTTTGGCCTTGGTTGGACGATCCTGGGAAATACCCATACATGCATTACGTCGACGATTTTGCAAGGCGACATAGTTGACACCCACATGCATTACGTCGCTTAGGCTTCCGCCTGGCCGAGCAGGCGCGTTACAATTGGCGAAGCGGTTCCATACCATGTGGTTCTAATATCAGTCCTCGCGGAGGAATGTCTTAAACAAATGATAATCCAAACTCAATTAATCTATCTCTACCTGATAGGTGAACATCCAAAAGCAAAACCCCAAAACACCACTAGTGAAAAATGCCTCCCCTACAGCACGTAGCATTCACCGTTGGTACGATTAACGGTGTACAACATTGTATGCCTTCGTGTTTCACGTTAACGATCAGGGGCATTTTAGGTCAATAGTACAAAATTCCCTGAGTGAGTGGGCATTTCACCAATTGAGTGGGTGTGTCAGCCACTCAGAGCATCTCCACCGCGCCCAGTAAATTGGCCAATCAGTAAATCTGTGTGCTGATTTACTGAAAATTTACTGAAATATTTTCGCACCGCACCATTATCCGGTTCAGTACTTTGCTGACCAGCAAATATTCCAGTAAAAGTCACACAGATTTGATGGACTTGTACTGGATTTGCTGGAGTCAGTATCCGGTTATAGTGGCCGGATATCGACATCGGTGCATAAACATGGAGCAGCGAAGCCTTCAGGACCTAGGTCGAGGTGCAGTTGTGGCGGCCCTGGCACGGTATGTATGCCGCAGTCAATAACCTATGACTTGTGGTGATGACTCTTGCGGCGTAGGTCAGTTGCGGCCGATAGCGCATTCGCCTGCGATCGATGCTGCCGTGGCAAGTTTAGGCGACAGCATCGACCGCAGGCGAATGCGGCCGGTTGCTTGTTTGCGCCGGTCCGAGGCCGATCCTGCCGTGATTGGTGGTGTCGGTCTTGCGCCGGTCGATGTCGAATTGCTTGTCGCGTTGGCGAGAGTCGTGCGGCAGTTGGTGAGTTGGGGTTTTTGCAGTGCGAATTATCCTGAATTATCAGTCCAAAACAATACTGGAGGTTTTTATCCGAACAGTATGCGGATATTGGTGTGTCGATTTGCTGGAATGCGGTAGAGATGCTCTCCCTGGGGGAATTGGTCGTATTATTGTGAATTCGCTATAAACTTCCAAAATTCGCCTGGTTTATAAATATTAAATCACGCCGGAGTTCTGATTGGTTGAATATACTTGTCCTTTCTGCACCATTCGACATGTTGGCCGCGATTTGGAAATGCGGCATACCTTTAAAACCTCCTACAATGTATACAATATTTCCATTAAAGAGGTGCAACCCTCCATCACCAGATATCGTGTAAACGTGCGTGCGCAGAGGAAGGCGCAGGAGATGGTAAAATGAGAAGTGAATTGATAGCGTTATAACAATCTAACGCTATGACTAAGCCAAGCAGGACCAGCCATCTTGAGCTGGTAAACATAAAGGGCCGGGGGTGGTCCGAAGCAAAGGGGCGGCAAACCCTTTGCTGTTTCCTTGGCACGTAGCGGCGTCGTTGGCCGCTCGTGGGTTTGGGTCTGGCATTGTCTTTAACCTGTGTGCCGTGGTACAGCCACGTGGATCCGGATCTTGTATCCGGAACTGTGACACCCTCCCACACTCAAACGAGAATATGGGAAGATGCAAATCAAATGGCGCGTGGTTGATGGCCGTTGGATGTTGCCAACTGGCGATCATCAACTTTACTCAACCGTAGGTGGCATTCTTGAATTTGACGGCATGGCCGACGACCAACGTAAGAAGTCCAAAGAGGTCGTGGACTTGACCGGTGACTACTCAGACAGTGATGAGTATTTCTTCGCGGGAGCCCAGCGGCTCCGGACGGGCAGTGAAGATCCGCTGCTTGATTTGTTCATGAAGAAGGAAGAGCAGCGGATCCATGCGGAGCACCAGACAGCGGCCGACTTGGTTCAAACGGCGCTGCGCACGGTGGGACCCATGGCAGTGCGGGAGCTCCTGCGAAAAGAGATCGTGGGCTTGGAAGAGCGCCACAGAAAGGAAGACATGCGGCCCCAACGGGAGATGGAGCAGGCGGTCGAGGAGTCAATGGCTGAATCAATAGCCGAGGCCGAAGCACAGGCAGCGCAAGCTGCCGAAGACCAAGCGGGAGAAGCAGGCGCGGGAGCGACACCTGCGGTGGTACAGGTGCAAGAGCCGCCGGTTGGGCAAGCAGCGCCAGGGGTGCAAGCAGCGTCGAACATCAAGATCAAGGATGAAGGCGTTGGGCAAATGGAGGTCGAGAATGGACCGCTCGGAATGCGCGAGGTGCGTTTGGAGGACGTCCGCACCTTGAAGCTGCACGAACAGGACGATTCCGCCCTCGGCGTTTGCGTGGACTATATCAACGGCAGAACGCGCCGTTTGCGGGTGCTGCAGCAGCTGGACTCGCGGCTGCAGGATTGGGGGTGGACACCGGCGTTGCGTGAGCCGGGGGAGCGATATCTCACTCTGTTTTGTCGGAGTGGGTTGTTCGAAACCCAGGTGACGCGGCTTGTGTGTGCCTTGGAGCACATGACAATTTTGGAAATTCCTTTGGCGGAATTTGTGGACTGGAAAGACAAGATGCGCGAGCGCATCTCGGACTGGAGCTACGACGCTCTGCGGGTCGTACGGTATCAAGACGAAACGATGTTTGAATACATCATTGTGTCGTCTTGTGTTGTTGAAACGCGAGCGAGGTGGGAAGCGACGGCTGGGCCAATTGCCGCACAATGTGGGGCTGTTGGCGAACGGGATGACTAATTTCGCCTTGGTTCGAGCTGCAAGCGGGCGGGTGCCCGCCGAGATTGTCTCCCGGCTCGCAGTCCGCGTTCGAATGCGGCGCGCTCTTGAGGTAAGGACGCTCTTGTCGCTGCGTCTGATCTCCATGTTGTAGTTGGCCCGTCTTGGATCAAGTACTGGCGGCCTGCGGGCGAACAACGTGCGCCAAGCACTGCCGGGGTTTGTGATGGGGTCGCGACCAGCTCCGAGTGGGTCGCCGGCGAAGCGAACGGCGGCTGAGTCGACTCAGGAGTCGAAGCGTCGTGCGAGGCTTGAACGCCGCAGCCCGTGGTATGTCGACCCGAGGGGGGCGCGGATGGCGGCCGGACCACCGGATGCGGGGTACTATGGGGCTCCGCAGGCCTCGTCGATGGTTGTGGGAACGCCTTCGGTTCCGGTGGCGGCGCCGGTGAAGCGAGAATGGAAGCAGGAGTCGGCGTCATCGGCCGAGGATGGGCAAGTGGCAGAGGAGTCCGAGGAGGACTTTGGGGATGAACCGCCGCGGAGTACAAGTGACCGCCTTCCGTCGTTGCATCGCTGGTAGTTGTAGGTGTAAGGTATAATTTGAGTTTTCCTACATAGAAGGTTGGGTGGATCTGCCAAGCTGGTGGCAGGTCGAGGGTGTATGTAGTTGGGCTAACAACTTTCTTGACGACAAAGGGGCCGTGCCATGCGCTTCGTAACTTGATGTTATGTTGGCCGCTGTCGCGGAATGCATGGGTAGGAATAGCGGACTTATGAAGAAGGACTTGGTAGGCGACTTGGAAAGTCGCCATGTTGGAACGACCGCGCCTGTCGGCTTGAGTAGCCTGTCGCTGTTGGGCGGCGGCTAGGTTATCCTTGATCTGTTGCATGACAGATTGGCGCTTGGAGACGAAAGACTCTACATCTTGTATAGTCCGGATCGGGGCATTGGGGGCGTTGATTTGGATCCCCCCACACTCAAACGGGGACTGAGTTGAGGCAGCCGGGGGTGCTGCAAGTGGACCGCATAATTTGGCGAGAATCCGGTGGACGCCTGAACGGAGGCGTTGTATGCAAATACTGCGTGGGGTAAGAGCGTACTCCACGTGGAGGACTGACGGACAGAGTAGGAGCGCAGAATGTCCTCGAGGACACGGTTTGCGCGCTCCGTTTGGCCGTCCGACTCGGGGTGGTCGGAGGTGGACATGGCGAGATCGGTGTCGCAGAGGTCGAAGAGCGTCGACCAGAAGTGGGCGGTGAAACGGGGGTC